ATAGAAATGAGACACATGTCCATTTAAAAAAATGTCTTACCTCCTTACCTTTTCTCTCTTTCTCTCTCTGCGCGTGGGGGTTGGATTTTTGACAAGAAATACAATTTAAAGTCACTCTCTTTATTTTGACGTGTGTTCACTCTCTGCCATGGCACACCTAGCAAGGTGTGCCATGGCACACCTAAGTATTTGCGCATACGCATATCTCTTGATGTGCTAATCAAATACTTTTTCTTTTGGACCACTTTATATAAACATCAATTTTGTTAGCCCCAAAAAAAAAAAAAAAAAAAAAAAAAAACAGAAAAACACTGAAATGCACATTAAAAGTTGAAACAATTCACAATATGAGATATTTAGCTAGGGGGTGTCTATATGTACACCCCTTGTGTGTAAAAAAGGAGTGTACATATAGCATTGCTCTTTGTGTAATTTATTAAAAAGGGGTGTACATATAGCATTGCCCTTTAGCTAACTAAAATTTCCCTAATTATAAGAGAATATTCCCTAAAGATCAACGATTCCTTGCTCACAGGATTAGACATTCAACTAAAGTTCTAATTAGGGCTTCTATTATGGTTATTCGATGTGATTTATTACGGAAATAATAAATCAATTCGCGAATTTTAGATCGAACTGCATAGTAACAAGTGTAGGGAGATGCTACGGTCTCGTTACAGAACCATTCCGTCAGAGTTTGTAACTGTTAGATCAACTATCTTGGACGACGGTTACATGATGATCTAACAGTTACAAATCCCAACGGATTGATTCTGTAATGGAACCGTAGCATTACCCACAACTCCACAAGTATAAGAATCCAAACGGAAGTAAATGTTTTTTCTCATGCATTTTAATTTTGTTTTGAGAAAAACTTACTAAACCCAAAAGGAAAAACCAATAACTACACCACACCATAATCACATAAAAAAAAAAAAATAATCGAAGCAAAACTAAACATAAATTTTTTTACTGCACAATTTGATGCAATTTTCCTTTTATTTTTTTTATATTCTTTTTCTTTAAGAGAGTAATAGTGATGAGTAATAAGTAATAACATTTCTGCAATTTAGGAATAGTATCACATGTAGAGGACAAAGTGAAATTGTCTTCATCATTGTACCACCATATGCTAACCTAAACCCACCCCCACATTATAAATCCCCATGTGCCTCACGAAAACTCAGAAACACTACACTCTTTGACTTTTCTTCTTCTCAAAACTCTCCCTTTTGCCTTCACCGTCTTAATAATTTCACCTCCAAGAAAAAGGGGGGAATTGAAAATTAATTTTCAAGTTTCAACAACTTCGAATTTCCCTCTTTTGCATGGCAGCTCAGCTTTTGGCTTACGAGGTGGCCGACCTTTGCCTTGGCAAGCCGCCGCTCCGCTCCCTCTCCGCATCCTCCGCCACCGTCGCCGACGCACTCGCCGCCCTGAAATCCACCGGAGACGACGCCGTCAGCCTCTGGAGCTGCGACCACGCCTCGCCGGAAAAGGACTGCGTGTGCGTGGGTAAAATCTGCACTGCGGATGTTGTTTTCTACCTCTGCCGGGAAGAGAATCTGGCCTCGACGGCGGCGGCCCTGAAGTCTCCGGCAACGGCTTTGTTGCCGACGGTCGGTGGCCTCGTCAGACACGTGGACCCCTCTGCAAGGTACTTCATTCACTCCCATTTGAATTTAATTTTCCATGTTTGTGAATTGTGCCATCCTTTTCGTCTGTGTCGATATAATTGATATGTTGATTGAATCTTGTTTTCTTGATTTTACTTTAGGATTTTAGTGATATAATATTGGTACATTATGTCACAGATCTGAAATTTAAGTTGAAATGCTTGACAAAACAGAGTGAATTTCATAATAACCTGTTCTGTTTCTTGCATATGGTACAAAATTGTCTTTCAAAGGCCCAACACTGGTCCCTTTCCTCGCTAAAAAAACAAGAAATCCCATCAAATTTGACATAAAAATTCAATCTTTGAAAACCCAATTGATTCTATCTGATGCCCAATTTTTGCTCTCGTTGCTCTGCAACAGCTTACTAGAAGCCATTGATCTAATCCTAGACGGCGCCCAAAATCTCGTCGTTCCCATACGAACAAACCCGAAGCAAAGAAAACAACAGCTCGGAAAATCGACCTTATTTTCAACCAATCACGGCAGCCGTGAATTCTGCTGGCTGACTCCAGAAGACGTAGTTCGGTTCCTCCTGGGCCTAATCGGGCTTTTCTCCCCAATCCTGACACTTTCTGTTGAAACCCTAGGCATAATCAGCCACGACTACTCGGCCGTGAGCTACCGTTCGTCAGCCAGGTCAGCACTCGAGGCACTCCAGCGATCATCGACCGACCAAACCTCGGTGGCCGTGGTCGACGAGTCCGGGTCCTTCGTCGGCGAGATTTCCCCTTTTACCCTTTCGGCCCGAGACCTCATGGCTTGCGTCGACTCATTGGCTCCGGTGGAGGAGCTAGCGGGCCTCGTGGGCCCGTATGGGAGCTGCTCCTCCTCCTCCTCGGATGATGAGCTGGCATCGCCCACGACGCCATTGGGCTGGGCCGGGCCTTATGTGGGGTATTTGGGACAGATGGTGAGGCGGGCCGAGGCGACGGTTTGCGGGCCCGGGAGCTCGTTGGTGGCGGTTATGATACAGGCGATTGCTCGTCGGGTGGGGTACGTTTGGGTGGTCGACGAGGGGTTCAGGTTGGTGGGGATTGTGACTTTTGCTAGCATTTTGGGTGTGTTCAGGGATTGTGTGGAGTAAATGCGGTTTTGAATGTTGGTGCAACTCTTTGTAGTTTTTTCAGTTGGAGTTCAAATCGAGGGATAATGTTGTGACTTTGATGAGCCTGTAAATTTTTTGTTATCATATGCATTTTGTTCTTGCGAGGAGTTTTGGTTTTTGTGTTGATTGTGGAATTTGGATGGTGGTTTGATTTTGTTGTTCAATGATATTGGTTTGAATGTTGTTGCTTTTTCAAACTTGGGTATATTCTTCCCCCTAATGTTTGGATAAAAGTACCGGATACAGTCTCGTTACGAAATCATTCCGTCGGAGCTTGTAACCGTTAGATCATCATGTAATCGTCGGGGACAGTTGATCTAACGGTTACAAACCCTAACTGAATGGTGTTAGATCACCATGTAATCGTCGGGGATAGTTGATCTAACGGTTACAAACCCTAACTGAATGGTTCCAAACGGGACCCGTTGCATTTCCCAAAAGTACTTTTAAGTAGATGTGTGGTACTTCTAAAATTAAATATCATACATAAATAACATATGACACATGAAGAATTAGACCGACTTATACACAATAGTATCTAATTTTAAGGACAATTAATTGTGCACATACAGGTTTTTTTAGTGTCTACATCTTTTCCATTTTATTATTATTCCAAGTTGTTTCTTTTCTTACTTGAGAAAAAGTTCCTGGCCTTTCCACTACTTTTGGGAACTTATTAGAAAGATAACATAAAAAATATTTTGCAAACAGATTGAAAACTGGGAAAAGTTGAAATCAACTTAATTAATGTGGATTTTAGCTGTCCCTTTGCATTTTATTTTATAAAACGTTTTACTTCATGATATGTCACTCTTGTGAAAGATTAGACATTTTTAAGAAAATTAACAGGTTTTAATCAACTTTTAACGGTCCTTATCTGCCATTTTGGACTACTCAAAAGTGGTATAATTTATTTGTTTTCAACATGAAGAAAACAATAAATAAAAAACATGCTTCAAGAACAACCACCAAAAAAAAAAATACAGCTCACATTTTTCACACACAACAAAGCAGATA